TTTTGGACTTATGGGATTTTTCCTAAGGACTATGCATGGACTATTTTCTATGGACTGTTCTATGGAATATTCTTTATGGACTTCTTTTCTTGGAATACTCCATATGGACTATGCTCTTGTAATTTTGTAAGGCAGACTATCAGTCAGTCATCTAATATAGTGATTCCCTGAAGCCGGAGGGAGGCAGCAACTGGTGCCATACACTTGGTGAAGGTCCTCGGTGCCATGGAGAGTCCGAATGGAAGAGAACGGAACTGGTGCAAGATGCTGTCGAATTGGAATCGAAGAAATTTGTGGTGACTCAGATAGACAGAGATGTGAAAATACGTGTCTTGGAGATCGATGACAACAAACCAGTCTTCCTGTGAAAGGAGAGGTATGATAGCGTCGAGCGTCAGCATTCTGAAACGTCTAGGCAAAATGAATTTATTGAGGTTTCTAAGGTCGAGGATGGGACGGAGTCCTCTGTCCTTTTTCAGTACAGTGAAGTATCTAGAGTAGAAACCATAGTGCAGGGCAGAGGAAGGGATGAAGAGTATGGCTTGTTTTTGGAGAAGAAGGGAAATTTCTTCTTGAAATGCCAATGAATGGGGAATAGCTTTAATGACAGTGAAAGGTGAAGTATGCTGCAGTTTGATGAAATAGCCCTTTTCGATAATCGAAAGGCCCCACTGGTCCTTGGTGATTCAACGCCATGCACTGAGGAAAGGGTTTGAAATGGAGTGGAAATCGTGGTGGAAGATGCAAGGAGTTTATTGATACTGCTTACCTTTCTTCTGTTGGCGTCAAAAGGGTTGTAGATGTGGTTGCTGTTGCTGGGGTTGAAAGGATGGTGGGGGAGATGTTGACGGGCCGGATTAAGGTCTATCCTGAATTTGTGACTTGTATGTATGGTACGTATGGTTGGTGGAATGGCTGAAATGGCTGTTGGACAAAGGACCATCTGCGGGACTGGGGTTGCTGGTATTGAAATGTTTGCTGGGTGGAATATGATCGAACTGTTTTCCGAATTCTATGAAGGTTGTCCATTACTTCGTCTGTTTTCTCATTGAAAAGGCCAGCACCATCAAATGGGAGGTCTTCAATTCTCAATCTGGTGTCATCAGATATGCCAGCCGACCTAAGCCAGGCATGGCATCCAAGGGCAATAAATGTAACCATCACCTTAGACGCAGCATCAGCAGTGTGGCGGGAAGCAATTCTTTGCTGTTTGGCCAGTGTAGAAGCATCAGTGTGAATATTTAGGGCTTCAATCTTAGAAGACTCAGGAGCTGCTTGAATAACAGGGAGGATCTTATTCCATAGTTGCCTATGGTAAGCTCCCATGGCGGCTTGACAGCTGGTGACTCACATAAGAAATGAAGTGAGGGAGTAAAGACGTCTGCCCAGGATATCTAACTTTCTTCCCTCCTGGTTGGTAGGTGCAACTTATGATTTGTTGCAAGATCTCAATTGACTGGATTCCACAATAACTAAATTCGGTGTTGGATAAAAAGGCAGTGTCCAGACCATGGGATTTATAATGGTTTTCTACACATCTTGAAATTTGTAATGATGAAGGGGGTTTGTCCCATGATTCTTTAATCAAATCTAGCATAATACAGTGGGGTCTCTACTTAAGAACTTAATCCGTATTGGAAGGTGGTTCTCAAGTTGAAAAGTTCTTATGTTGAATCTGCATTTCCCATAGGAATGCATTGAAAACAATTAAATCTGTATCTGCTCTTTTCTGTCCATAGAAACTACAGTGGAACCTCTACTTAAGAACTTATTCTGTTTTGGAATGGTGTTCTTAAGTTGAAATGTTCTTAAGTTGAAGCAAAATTTCCCATAGGAATGGACTGAAAACCAATTAATCCGTTCTGGCTGTTTTTTTGTTCGTACATTGAAGCATTAGTTCCCATAGGAACTAATGCAAAGCTGGTTAATACATACTCTACCACTAGGGGGAGAACATTTTTTTTAACCTAAGATGACCTAAAGTTAAAAAAAGAGCAGGAAAGTTTTTTTTTCCCTGTTCTTATCTTGGATTTCTGTTCTCAAGTAGAAGCAAAATTTAGCAAATGGAGCTGTTCTTAAGTTGGATTGTTCTTAAGTAGGGACGTTCTTAAGTAGACCCCACTGTAGGTAAGAAGGTAAGGCTAAGCGGAGGTGTCTTCTCTTGATTAATATAATAAAAAACTAAGTGTTGTTTAGGAGGGGGTGGTTCCTTGATTTCTAATTGTAGGGACTTAGCCATCCTCATCACTAGCTGGGGGTAAGAAGTAAAATCTCTGCTATATCAGATGTTGGAGTTGGTAGATTGGAGGGTGATATGGAGAAATATCAGAAGCCAAATCATGGGTTGATAAGGATGATTCAGAGCATGGAGACTGATGTTGAGATTTTGATGTGGAGAATTGTGTCGAAGAAGGCTATTGTGAAGCGGGGGGCACTTGGGTTGTAGAGTACCTTTCTGTATCAGGAGGAGGAGGAGGATCCTTATAGGTGGTCATAACATGTAGAGATGTTTTGAGGGAGAGGATGTTTAGAAGAATGTTTGGAATGCTTCGACTGCGGTTGTTCCAATGATGAAGTAGTGCACTTGAGGGCCGGCTTGGTAGCAAGATCTGGTGAGTTGATGTCAAGTGCAACGAGTGGGAACGGTGTTGGTATCAAGGTGGTGATGGAGACACAGAAGGTGAGTATCGACATGGAGTAAACTATGTCTAGATGGGCGGCATATGTTTAGAAGAATGTTTGGAATGCTTCGACTGCGGTTGTTCCAATGATGAAGTAGTGCACTTGAGGGCCGGCTTGGTAGCAAGATCTGGTGAGTTGATGTCAAGTGCAACGAGTGGGAACGGTGTTGGTATCAAGGTGGTGATGGAGACACAGAAGGTGAGTATCGACATGGAGTAAACTATGTCTAGATGGGCGGCATATAAATGTAATGTAATAAAAAGAGAAGGAAGTGTGAGGAGTGCTTCCTTTTTATTTTATTTCATTCTCATTCCCCCTATTCCCTGCTTATCTCCATTTTCTGCCAGAAGAGGTTGGCACTAAAAAAAAAAAATGCATCAAGGCTGTGTGTTTGATGAAATAGCCCTTTTCAATAATCGAAAGGCCCCATTGGTCCTTGGTGATTCAATGCCATGCACTGAGGAAAGGGTTTGAAATGGAGTGGAAATAGTGTTTTCAAGGGGAGTGATGAGATTAGTCTGAGCCCGAGATTTGAATTGAAATTGCCTGCCCTGATGACGCAGGGCTCGAGTGGGCCGAGGCCTGGCTGAAGTGAACGTCAGCCAGAGAGAGGCCAATACTTGGTGACAAGCTACCAGTGGAAGCTGGAGCCTGGGCTGGAGGCAGAGGTGGTTCATCTCTGTCTGACACTGATCCCAAGACATCTCTAGATCTTTCCTCCAAAATTAGGCATGGAAGTTTCGATTGGGGTGGTTGAATCTGAGTAGATTTTGACGATTTCTTAGGCTTTTTAAAAAGGAGTCTTATCTTTTTTCTTTTTAGATCATTCAATTGATAGAATTGAGGTCCTCAATGTCGATGTCAACTTCGGTTTTGAGGTAGACTTCAATTTCTCCACTTGATGAGGAGAAGGAGTCATTGGACTAGAGACTGGTCTAGGAGGCTCTTGGTGATCAGGTCGAAGATCTGGGGATGAGACAGAAAAGGCAACTCTCGTGGCCATCAGTGAGAGGGATCTTGTTATTACAAAGTACACACTGCTTGAAAGGCCCGGGGGGGGGCATAAAAGACAAAGGAAAATTGGAGGAAAGATGGTGGAAAGGGGGGAATCAGCAAAAACGAGGGAAAGAGACAAAAACTGAATCGAATTGAAGGTAGAACAAATCAATTTAGAGGGGAAACATCCAACAAAAAAGTGACTGAAATAACAGAAGAAGCAACTACCGATTGCAGTAAACACTCAATCGCTCCAGCTCTCTCTGAAATAGGTCTAACCTAAGTGGTGGCTAAAAAGGCCTGAGGGGACTTATGGCGAGTGGAGCATGCGCTCCATGGGGGAACATTCCACTAATCACGTCTTTTAAGTTCTAGAAACTTCTGAGAGGTCCTGCGCAGGCAGAGAACAACCCAATTGTGTGCATTCATAGAGGCCACAAAGAAGAACGTTTCCTTCCTGCTTCTTCCTGAAGGACTACCCCAGTAAACGTTACTTTCTGGATGGAGGATAAGCAAAAATCATCAGCTCTCCTAAACTGAAAGCCATCTATCTCCCATGCTTTGATGGAAGCATTTTGGATAGTAAACAAGGCACCTAATACAATTCTGCCCCTTTTCTGTACATCCTGACAATCTATGAGTGCTCAGCTATTTTCCAGTGACTCAAATTGCAATGCTGGCTTCTATTTGTTGCAAACTAAGCTTTTCTTTTTATTCAGCAACTCTAAGACCTTATTTGACTTACTCCAAATGGCATTCCCTCTAATTGGGGCTGATGGAGGTTCGTTGTAGAATTGGCACAGCTTGATCAGTCAGATCAGGACATAAATGTAGAAATTTATATACTGTATCTTTGTCCCTTGTAGTATATAACTGCCTATAATGGGGCAGTGTGTGGGTGCCAGAAGATGACAGTCAATGCTAAATTGATGCACAAGCAAATCAAGGTACAGTTTGAGCCTTGGATTATGAAGGGCTTCTAAATGGTAGATGATGATGCATAAATGCATATTCTTCTCAGTGTTCATAGACTGAGTGTTTAATGAATTTTAACCATTTAATCACTAGCACACAGAAACCTCCATCTTTGCTGGATGTGTATGCCCAAACTAATTTTCATAGGCTTAAGTTCGTGGGGTCCCCCCCCCGCATGCATTATTTTAATAAATAAAGGATGGCCGTAAGCAGAGAAAGCTCAATTGTGTCAAAGGTTTACATCTTATTCAGTGTCTTCCCTTCAACATACAAGTTTTCAAGCTTAAGAAAGGAAAATGCTGTTTGCATACCCTTAATTTTTTTTTAACTCAACAGAGGTCGTTGTCTAAGACTTCCACTCTTTTATTGGAAAAGCACAGAATTCCACAGACCATGGCTACTACATTTCTATCCAAAGAAAACTGGACAGTTCATTGCTTCAAGCATTTACTACCTGTTTCACTGTAAAACTGCTAGTCACCTACTCAGTGTACATTTATTGCCTTGCCAATAAAGATAATTGCTCCAGACAAAAGCTGTCCAACCAGCACTGCTATATAAGTACAACACAAGTGATATAAATACATTTAAGCAAAGGAGATGCAATTGGAGATGCAATTATTTGAAAACTGCATAGGGGAATTATTGTGTTAATTTTTCCCATTTTTTTTTGCCCCTCCTAGATTAGTGCAGCTAAAGACTGCTATTCTTGGTTTGTGGAGACGAGAATCAATCAACTGGTTTAGAGATTCATTTGTTTTCCACTCTGAAGCCTGAGCGTGCTGCTTGAACATGATACTGGGGTTCATGCTATTACAAGGCAAACTCCTTCATTTCTCTTTGCTTTTCTTTTTGCGTGTTCTCTGGCTACTGAGTTCACTTAGTTTGTTGTCCAAACGCCTCTGGAGATGAGCTCTCTTGGTAGGATCCAAGGACTTATCCTTCACTCCACTCCCAGCATACAGGACACCTTCTCTGCTGATTCTTTGCCGAGCATGTGCTTTGGCTTTCTCCCCACACCCATGAATCTGTGGAAAATAAAGACACAGTATATACACTGAAAGTAACCAATCCATAAAAAATAATCCACATGCCTACTGAGGACTTTTAACACTAAAAACAAAAATATGAAAGTCACAATCCAATGAGAAATGAAATAATTATTTCACACAACTTCAGTATTTTCTTCCCAAATTCTAAAAATCATGGGAGAAGCTCCACTATATTTATTTATTTATTTATTTTTATTTATACTCCGCCTATCTGGTCACATCTGTCACCCCGACTAATAAATATTAATATTGCTGCTTAATGTCCAACTTTATAAACTTACTATTTAGAAAGAATGAGAAGAGAATACTCCGCCTATCTGATCACATCTGTCACCCCAACTAATAAATATTAATATTGCTCCTTAATGTCCAACTTACTATTTAGAAAGAATGAGAAGAGAAGAGAAGAGAGCAGGGAGGTTATGAGCGATCAAGCCATTTTTAGCTATATGGCAAAACACATCACAGCTAGCACAAATAATACACTGGGAAAGAAACCTTGATGTCAGTGAGCAATTTGACTGTGTGTAATGCTGGATACATAATTAAAGCAAAACTAGCTTCAGCTTAGTTCAGGTCTGGAAAAGAAACAATGAACAGAGGTCCACACAAAAGGTGCTCTTGAGCATCCTGCAACAGATTATAGAAGACAGACAGATAAAATAAAATACCGCATTGTCCTGTTAACAACTAAGGTAGAACATATGCCAGACGCGGGTCATCATAGAAGAGCATCATATGCCAGAAGCACAGGGTTAGGAGGATATTGTGAAGGTAGACATTGTGAACGAAGGTAGACATGGGGTTGAACAAAAATAGAGCTCTCTTTGCCCTCATAACAGCAAAATCTGGGGCCATGTAGCTGAATGAGGGGAGGTGCAAAACAGACAGAAAATGAAATATCATGCTGCATAGTCGATAGTTAAAACCATGAAATTTGTTTCCTCCAGACATGATGATGATGGTCAACTTGGACAGCTTTAAAAGGGGAATGGACAAATTCATGCGAAAGGAGAGCTTCAGTGACAATTGGAAATGACAGCTATATACTCCTTTTGGTATCAGAGGCAGTCGTTGGGAGAAATTAGCAGGAGGGTGCTCTTGCCTTCATAGTTCTGCTTATGGGCTTCCCCTCGGCATCTGGCTGATCTCTGTGAAAAACATGTTGGACTACAGAGGCTCACTGGATTTGATCCAGCACAACTCTTAAGAAAGACCTGCCTACTTTTAGGACAAGGACACCAATAATAAATGTGAGCCAGCATTATGAGGCGCATAAGCATTATGAAATACATGTTCATTCACATACACAAGATCCTTTTTGAATGAAAGTGTGCTACACCTAGGATCTGATTAAAAAACAGACATTTTCTGCCTTACATGCTGAATCAACTAAGTTTTAAAAAACTGTTCTAGGTCACATACATGCAAGATGTTAGTTCCTCACATTGCCTGTAGAAGTAGAAAAAATACTGATGGGTTCTCACGGGAATCTGGAGGATGATGTCCCTGACAACTTGTTCCAGAGCATGAAAATTTTGCTACAGCCCTAAACCCAGCCACACACTTTCAGTGCCACTCACTTTAAAAACTGGATTAAACTAGATCTGTGCTAAAATGATTTATTGTTAAAACCTCCTAGTGTAGGCAACCCCCCAGACAGACCCTCTAATTAGCAACACAAAATGCTGATGCCTCAGTCATCAGGTGTGATTTAAAAGAAACAAAGCAAGCTGGATTCAGCAGTGCTGCATGAAGCATAATTGTTTCTGTCAGGTGATGTCAGGGTTACTGATCCCACCACTGTTTCTGTAACAGAGAGGCACAGTTGGATGAGCTCAAAATGCTGAGAGTTAGAAAGCGAACAAACAACAGATACAGTTAAGTCCGGAAATAATTGGACAGTGAGATAATTTTCATAATTCTGGCTTTGTGCACCACCAGAATGGATTCGAAATTAACAACCAAGATGCAACTGAAGTACAGACTTTCATCTTTAATTCAAGGGGTTGAACAAAAATATCGTATGAAACGTTTAGGAATTTCAACCATTTTCATACACAGTCCTCTTATTTCTGGAGCTCAAATGTAATTGGACAAATTAACACAATGATGAATAAAATGTTCCTTTTTAGTACTTTGTTGAGGATCTTTTGCAGGCAATGACTCTTGAAGTCTGGAACACATGGACATCACAAATGCTGGGCTTCCTCCTTTGTGATGCTTTGCCAGGCCTTTACTGCAACTGTCTTCAGTTGCTTTTTTATTCGTGGGTCTTTCTGCCTTAAGTTTAGTCTTCAGCAAGTGAAATGCATGCTTGATTGGGTTGAGATCAAGTGACTGACTCGACCGTTGCAGAATATTCCACTTCTATGCCTTAAAAAACTCCTGGGTTGCTTTCACAGTATGTTTTGAGTCATTGTCCACCTGTAAAATAAAGTGCTGTCCTATCAACTTCGCTGAATTTGGCTGAATCTGAGCAGACAAGATATCCATGTACACTTCAGAAGTCATCTGGCTGCTTCTGTCTCATCATCAATAAATATTAGTGACCCAGTCTCATTGGAAGCCATGCATACCCATGCCATCATACATGCTCCACTGTGTTTTACAGATGATGTATGCTTCGAATCACGAGCTGTTCCAAGCTTTCTCTATACTTTTTTCTTCCCATTATTCTGGCACAGGTTGATCTTACGTTTCATGTCTCCAAAGAATGCTGTTCCAGAACTGGGCTGGCTTTTGCAGATTTTGGGGGGCAAAGTCGAGTCTGGCCTTTCGATTCTTGAGGCTTATGAATGGTTTCCACCTTGTGGTGAACCCTCTGTATTTGCTCTTGTGAAGTCTTCTCTTGATGGCAGATTTGGATAAGGATGTGCCTTCCTTCTGGCTGGATGTTGTGAAGAAGTTTTTTTCTTTACCATGGAAAGGGACCCTACAATCATCCACCACAAGAGTCTTCTGTGGACGTCCAGGCCAATACCCTCAAATTAAAGCTGAAATGCTGCACATTAAGCCCATATTCACCAATTAACCATAACTTGAACTTATTTTGGTAAACAGCCAAAATAACATGTTTCAGTGTCCAATTATTTCTGGACCTAACTGTATATGTAGGACAAGGAAAATACAAACCACACCAAGGAGGGAGATACAAAACAGTTCTCATAATGCAAGTTAAGAATTCATATAGTTTTGTTACAATGATTCAGCTTCATGGCTTCAAATCCCTGCTGGAATTTCTCCCAACCGTTTTGGCGAAACTTCACTTGCATGCAAGGCAGAGCTGCCAAGAAACTCTGAAAATGGACCTAACGTCCTAAGATTTTTTGTACGTTACATCAGCCTTCTCCAGCTTGGTGCCCTCTTGCTTCTTGGGACAATATGTCTTAAGGATCTAAAACTGTGTCTCTCTTGACAGATCTTGAGCTCTCTGCCAGAAACAACTCTTAGCATTTCCATGACAGCCAACTTGACCTGGCCTATAGTTTATCACACTGGCTGCAACCTGCTAATCCAAGTAATTAACAGTGTGATAGCCCCTCTCTTGTGTTAACGAAGTAGTCACAGGTGCCACACTATTTTGCTTCCCCCCTTCCTTCCCTTTTCTCCCCCCCCCGTAATTTTGCCAATCAATCTTTATTGTACAGTCACAGACAACAAATGCCGATCAATGTTTTAAGAGAATAAAAGGCCTGGTGTGCTCTGGTCCATGGGCTCACGAAGAGTCGGACACGACTTAACGACTAACAACAACAGATAGAATGTTTTCTGAAAATACAGTGGTGCCTCGCTTAACGATGTTAATTGGTTCAAAAAAAACCACATCGCTATGGGAAAACATCGCTAAGCGAAACACGTTTTCCCATAGAGATGCATTGAAAACCGGTTAATCTGTTCCAATGGGAACGGATTGCCGTCCTAAAGCGAAAATCACCATAGGAAACATCGCTAAGCGAAACAATGTATCCTCCATTGGAATGCATTGAAGCCTATTCAATTTGGCTTTGTTCTGACTCTTCGTTAATTTTGGGTGAATTTCCCCCCCCCCACTGAAATGCATTGAATCCAATTTTGACAGCTGTCAAAATCAGGTTCAATGCTTTCCAATGGGGGAGAAAACAATTCACCAAAAATTAACGAAGAGTCAGAAACTGTTTTTAATGCTTGGACCCGTTAGAGCACCTTCTAAAACATGTGCAAACTTAATTTGGCTTTGTTCTGACTCTTCATTAATTTTTGGTGAATTTTTTCCCCCATTGAAATGCATCGAACCCGATTTTGACAGCTGTCAAAAAAGAATTC